TCTAGTTTAGATCACACACAGTGTAGCTCATGAGTGATGCAAGCGGTAGCGAGGAGGAGGAACGAGTAGTGGAACATCTTAGAGTGACTCGTAGATTTGCACTCAGTCAACCGATTACCTTATTGGAGTTAGGTTAGGGAGAGGAAAGGCGGCTGCGACGGGAAGCCACGAAAAGGGCGACATCAGAGAGGGCTAGGTTAGCGGCAATCAACGCTGAACGAACACTTGCAGGCTTGCAGCAGCAAGACTAGCGGACACTCAAGTTCAGGTTGAGGTTGCGATGGCTACCTCTTCTTCAGTGTCACAGGCCTTGTCTCAGGCCTCTTCGTCAGGTGTCAGTCAAGGTATCTCTTAGAGTTCTGTTAGTTAATCTGTTGGCTCACAAGTCAGCCAACAGATGTCACTCACACCAAAGGATTATGAGATCCTCCAAGCAGAAGAACTTCATGATGAGTTGCAGCGGCAGTTGAGAGAGGCAGCGGAGAGGAGACAACATGCTATTTTGAGAAAAGCTTAACTAGGGAGTAGGAGACAGGAGCTAGGCAAATTAAAAGCGTTAGATGAGTCCACACTTGATCCTGCGATGAAAGCGTTGCGTAACTCGCTCCTTTGCGTGGTTGAAACGCAGGTTGTTCAGCAGGAAGTGTTGGCTGAACTAGTGGTAGGCCAGAGACAAATTTTGGTTGCACTGCAGGTTCCTCGTCCTATGATGAGGCAGCCTCGGTATGTTGTAGCTCCCCCTTCGGTTGCAGGCTCCTCAGGATGTCGTCGCCAGTAGGGCCATCCTTCTCTCCTATGTTTGGCATTCCTCCTTCGAGTAGTCAACCAGTAGTTAGTGGTCCGGTTCTTAGAACTTTTGTCGTACCATCCACGAGAGTGGTTACTACAGTCTTATTGTTAAGTCAGGCCTAGGTTAGTGTGCAGCAATCTGTTACAGTGGCTATGCAGCCATTGCAGCAATCTCCTGGGCCAATGTAGCCTATGCACTGGATGCCCAAGATACCCCGAGTCCTTTCTCTGGTGACAGAAAGAAGGACGAGGACTTGGATACCTGGGTGAGAACAGTGCCCACATATGTGAAGCACAAGCTCACCAGGCCGGAGCAAGAAGTTGTAGAGGGGTCAGCAACCCGCTCGTTGAATGGCCTAGTGTAGCAACAGGGCTACGGTCAGAACTTCGATTCCTTGGCTCAGTCCTAGACATTGGAAGACTTCGTACGGTCCGTGTATAATAGGTGGCATGACCCTCAAGGGGCTCAAAGGGCCACAAACGCGATCAACAATCTTTGTGCCAGAAGGTACAAGAATGTTTGCGAGATGACGGATACCGTAGAATGTCTGCTCGTGGAACCTGGTGTGTGCTATGACCAGCAGGTACTCCTTACGGATTATCAGAGATGTCTACGTTCAGAGGTAAGAACTAAATTGGTAGATGAGGCCTATGTCGACCACCACAACTTC